AATGCAATGATCAAGGGTTGAGTTTTATTTTAAAAAAATAAGCCTCAAACCGTCTTTAAATAGCAGTCAAAAAGCAAATTTCGAATACAATCGCTCACTATTTACCGTTATGACACACTATTGGCCGCTTTTACGAACAGACATATTCCGCAATATGTCACCGCAATATGTCACCGCTATTACGCGATAACGTAGCGGGCAATAGCGTCGCGGGAAGTGACCGCTAACGCTATTAGCGCCGCTATTGCGGGGCTATTTACCGTTATTTATAACAGTGGTCTCCATGTCCTCCAACCTCCTCCAAACTTCAATCTCTAACCATGAACATCTCCTCCAACCTTCAACAAAACCTCATCCACGACCACTTAAACGAATAAAGAAATACGTCTAGACACTAACCCGACGCCTTAGCTTTCTAACATTAACATTTACCATCAATTATTGTAATTAAATAAAAAGGTAAAATAACCTAGGTCTTGCCTAGCTTCCACGCTCTAGGCATCTGGTCCCATGCTTAGGCCACTCTACACTTTCTGCAACCTTGGGTCAAACATTGTGGATTGTAATCCACCGAAAACTAATCCGGGGTACCCTAGCTTATATTTTGATGACTAATAAATGTAAATGACACAGGTGATATTTGGCAAATACATCATTACAGTTTATCACCTTCCATCAAACTCATTTCCCTCAGTTTTCTTTCAAGTTTATTCTTCAATAAAACCAATTTAATCACCTTCCATAATTTCAAACGAATGTTTTAAATATCGGTTATCGGGGATTTATCGAACGGTCAAAGTCCACATAGAATAGCGGATATCAGAGATATATTGGAATAAGTAGTATTTATCAGAGTGACATTATCAGATAGTGATATACATAATATAATATTCTAAAATACAATCTAACCATACTTAATGAAATATAAACATACCAAAATGTAAATAATTATGTTTAGGATCACTAAATAATGGAAGAAACTCGGGTTCGGTCGGGTTTAATGTGCATTGAATAGCTGCCCGTTACCTGAAATCAAAACTCAAGCTGAAGGCTGATAATTCCAAATTTTGGGCCAATAATATCGATCGATGACTCACTTTATTGCCGCATTATCGGCGATAAACATCTAAAAACGATAACCGATTTAGAATCGAACTTATCATAGCGGAAGACCCCCAAAACCAATAAACCGCTGATAAAATCAGTTTATCGGCCGATATTTAAAACATTGCTTCAAACTACATTCCATGCCTTCAAACTACTTGCGAAAGCACTTGATCAGCTAGGCCTATGGTAAATCTAAGTTTTTTTTATATGGAGAAGATTTTTCATAAGGCTTGGGCATTGTTTTCTTAAGGGAAGAATTATTGAGATCAGATTTTTTTAAGGGGAGACATGACCATAAGGGTGAATTGAGAGAGGGCATAAATGTCAAAAACACTCCTTTACCATTTGATCATTTAGTCTGTTAGTTTAGAGTGTTAGTTGAGAGGGTGTTTTATTTTTCTTTTCTTTTTCCTTCTTTTTTTTGTTTTGCAATGTTGATGAATTGGAGGGTAGTTTTGCAAATACTGAGATTAAGGGGTTAATCTTGTAAATATAGATGATTAAAGGGTATATACAAAAATAACCCTAAATTTAATATTGCACCTTCACAATCATATGACAACAAAGTAAATGGAAGACTAAAATCTGAAAAAAGTAATTGCTATAATAATCTAGATATAATCCTTCAATATTTGACAAAGAGGCTTGGGCATATCATATTGTCAAGGAATTTGGGAGTCTGACAAGTTCTGTTTCTACCACATTAACTTCAAATGAGTATTGGTACTTTGTAAAGAACCACTGAGTGAACAAACAATAACTAACCGCGGCAAAAACAAAAAGCAAAAACAATAATACCTTTCTATCCCAATATTTTCTGATTGAATATGTTAATGAACTAAAAATAAGATAAAATCTAGAAATACCTGTTTCTCATAGCAGCTTGGGTCACGACGAGGTCTATTCAGATGTAACTCCTGTAGGTGCTTCATGAAAATTTGCTGCACTGGGTCCATAACATGTATAATTATGTTATATGAGTGTGTTAATCATAAACCATGATCACAAACACTTCAATAGATTATTCAATATGATGTTGAAATTTTCCAAACACAATCCTCGAAAGCTAGATTGATCTATTGATCATAACACGTACTAGAAGATAATTAGAACAAGTCAACCCATTAGAAAGAAGCCAAGCTCCAGTCAAATGTGTCATTATATAAAAGAAACCCATCACAGGGGGAAAAAGAGTCCTAAAAAAATGTATTTGCTATATGAGATGCAAGTTCTTCTGAGCAAAGAACAAGATGCACGCTTTTATACTTTCTCTGCAAGGTTGGTTGCATAATGATGACAAAAGATACAGTAAAACAAGTTTTAGATCTTAAAAGGTCAACAACTTTACTTGCAAAATAAGATGGCAGTTTCATGAAAATATCTACAAAACAACAAGAAACAAATTTCGAATGGGAAGTCTCATTATGATGTACTTTGCAAATATATAATTGAAAGGAGATAACAATATGGTTTTCTAAAAATAAAAGAAAACACAATTCATATAGAACAATGAGAAGAAAATTTGTTAGAAGGAAAGAAATTTAAATTAAAGTTTCATTGTGGTGCATTTTGCAACCATATAGCGCAAAAGAAATAGCAACAGGGAAATTTTACTTTTAATTTTGCTACCTACTTAAGTAATGCAATACAAAACCAGTGTCAAGTTTAAGATTTTAGCAAAAAATACTATCGCATGGTCAACTATTACTTCGTCTGGGTTAAGAACCTCCAATCTCCATGCAATTCAAGTATTAAGTTTCTTGTCAAAAGAATAACCCCTCCATAATTGTTACAGCAAATAGAGACAGATACTGAACTGAAGCTCAACTCCATTGGTCAAGGGAAGTAATAAACTATTAGAGGAAGATCGCATCATAGCAGTAACCACACTACATGCGGCATCCTCTGTCTGAGGGCACAGTGCACTTCAACACATGTCAAAAGGAATCTACAGAAAAATATAGCGATATACAATATTATCAACATAACAACGTAATGTAAAAACAGCATGAAACTGGAAAAAAGGTGATGTAATTAGACTTATGATCAACAAAATGTACAGCATAAAAAATTAAATGTTTTCATGCAAGAAAAAGTACCTGACAGCAATTCTCATTTCTAAAATTCTGCTTCTACCAACCTTAAGAAAGGGAGATGATTCTCCATATTTTCCGGCTGACACCCTTAACGTAGATGCAAACAAAGGCTGCATAATCCCAAAAGAGAGAACAAACCTAACAAGGTATAAAGACTACAAAAAAACTCAGCAATTTGATAGTCAAGAAAATACACCTCAAATTGGAATCAAAGTAGTGCAACAAACAAACAGAACCTTTACCCGACAGCAAGAGAAAGTCTGCTTGTGGTGTACTTTGTAAACATATAGTTCAAATGAGAGAACAAAATGGTTTCTAAAAATAAAATGAGGTTCACAGTGAAATCTCTATAGAACAACGAGATGCAAATCTGTTAGAAGGAGAGAAATTTCGATTTAAAGTCTCCTTGTTGTGCACTTTGCAACAATATAGCTCAACAAAAATAGCAATAGGCAATTAAACTTTAGTTTGGCCTACTTACTGAAGTAATTCAATGCAAAAGCAGTATTAATTTTTACAGCATCAAAAATATTGTTGCATGGTCAACCATTAGTTCATCTGGGTTAAGTAACTCCATGCAATTCAAGTATTAAATTTCTTGTCAAAAACAAATGCCGCACAGTTGTGTCAGAAAATACAGACAGAACTGAAGCACAACTCCAATGGTCAAGGGAAGTGATAACCAGTCCAGGAAGATTGCGTCATAGCAGTAACCACAGAGAGTGAAGAGGAAGTAACAAGATTTTCTGAAAACTGAATCAGATTGAAAATGGAATATCTACAAAACAACGAGAAACAAATTTCAACAGAAAATCTGATTGTGGTGTACTTTGCAAACATATAGTTCAAAGAAGATAACAATATGGTTTCTAAAGATAAAATGAGGTTCACATTGAAATCCCCAATGGACAATGATGATGATAAGCAAATTTGTTAGAAGGAAAGATATTCAATTTAAAGTCTCCTTGTGGTGCACTTTGCAACCATATACCTCAACAAATAGCAACAGGAAATTATACTTCAGTTTCACCAACTGCTTGAAGCAATGCAACACAAAATGTACCAATGTTAAGAATTTATGTACTGCATCAAAAATACTGTTGCATGGTCAACCATCACTATTAGTTTGTCTGGGTTAAGTAACTCCATGCAATTCAAGTGTTAAGTTTCTTGTCAAAAATATATGCCACAACTGTTACAGAAAAAGCGACAGAATTCAACTGAAGCACAACTCCAATGGTCAAGGGAAGTAATAAACCAGTCGAGGAAGATTGCATCATAGCAGTAATCATAGTGCATGTGGCATCCTCTATCTTAGGGCACAATGCTCTTCGACACATGTCAAAAAGAACTACAGAAAAATAGCACGATATGAATATGTTACCAGTATAACAGCACAAAGGCAAAATAGCATGCAATTGGAAAAAGACGACGTAACTAGAAATATGATCAGTAAATATATGAAGCATAATATCCAATGCTTTCATGCACGCAAAAGTACCTGGTGGTGATTCTCATTTTTCTTCAGCTTCCAATAACCTTAAGGCGGAAGATGGCTCACAATATTTTGCTGCTGACACCCTTAACTTGGACAACTTGCACACCAACTGCACAATCCCAAAAGAAAAGCGACCAGTATCTCTACTAAACTGATGGCAGGAAGTCATGTTAGAATCTAATACCTCAGATAGCACTCTTTCAGTAGCATGACCAATGAAGTTTAGGGGGTATCTCTGACAAGGTAAAAGGGCTGAAAGAAGACTCAATAAAGTGACAGTCAAGAAGATACACCTCAGATTGGAATAAAAAACTGCAACAAACTAACCGAATCTTTATCCAACAGTGAAGACCTCGTCAGAAACACAAGACTACAGACAAAGAAGATTATTTTAGTGGTATAAAGCATGTTTTCATCATTATGAAGAGCCCTGAAGAAATAGAGGGATGCAAAATACAAAAATCTAGAATTACAACATGAGAATGTTGTTCACAAGGAGTACAGTATGTTAAGGTGGCTCTCTCCAGCAAGGGAGCATTTCCTGCGAATTCGCATGCTTCTAGAAAAATATCATCACTCGTATCATCTAGCCACAACAAGTTATAAATTGCCAAGGCTGGCTTCTCTAAACACCCAAAAAATCTGTAGTATTCTTCCTTTTCATGGCATTGTCTCTTCTCTCTAATTATTATTCTATCTCATCCATGCTAAAAAGAACCATTCCACCAAAAAACTGGCATTACTCAATACTTCTCGACTCAAAAGAGAAGTTCTCAATTTCTTCAAGGGAATGCTCACTCCCATTCAACATCTCCATGCACGACGATCTACAAGTGAAGTAGAAAACCGCGCTCATCATAGAATCAACAAGCACCACAAATGAATACATAACCACCAACAACGGTCCCTCCCATATCCTCGAGGACCCGTCTCCATAGCTCAACGTCTTCACCCTATGCTCAAACAAACCCTCAACAAAAGCCATCCCAATCGTGGACCCAAGAAATATCAACAGCCCCGCCTGAGTCTGCCCCTTCACCAACGAAACCGACCTCAAAATAGCCCGTGGCCCCGAAACATCCTCAAGAACCGAGATCACACCCGCAAGATTACAGACAATGATAGTATGCGCGTAAACCATGGAAAATCCCAACATCACAAGCAATGCCGGGTACACTACAATATCCGGCGGGTACCCTAATATTGCCAACGAGTTGCAAACCGCAATAAGGATCACAAGGAAAAGACCAAAGCATCCGCAAATAGCACCACAGACCCAAAGATAAGTAACAACAAGCCTCCGCCAAATGCGACGGGCAAGGGCGAAGAACTCCGACGCAATGATCTTCTTACTAGCATAAGTACACGCGACTGAATAAGCAATGGAAGCTCGGGCAGTGAGCTGTAAAGTCAAAAGCAAAGGGAAGCAAAATGCCGATGAAAGTAATGTACCGGCCAGATGATGGCACATCTGTTTGAGGAAATGCGTCAACGGGAGGCCGCTGACTGTGGAAAGGAGGATCAAGCGGCGGGAGAGGGCGGCGACGGTGGATCGGTCGATGAGCTCGTTGGACAAGAGGGCGGCGGAGACGGGGCAAATCAAGCATGAGGATGAGGGGAGGCTCGGAGGATCCGTACGGTCTCGCGTAAGATCTCGAGGGCGTTCATCTGCGGGATTTGGCCGGCGGGTTGAAGGGAGGTCCTGGGAGGCTATTTGGGATGACCCATGTTTCGCAAGATTGGACTCTTTTTTTTTTTTTTTTTTGGGGGGGGGGGGGGGGTGGGGGGGGGAGTGGGGGGGTTGTATGCGATGGGTTTTAGGGGAACGGGTAGGGATTTGCTGGTGAATTTGGGGAATGGTTTTAAATTGAGGGATATGAAAGAGGGAGCTTCAGACGTTTCGGTAGGACAAGTAACGAGAGAGAGAGGAGAAGAGAGAGATTGGGATCTGGGGAAGGAGAAAGAGAGCGGAGGGATAGCGTGATGTCGAGGAGCATAAGGGTCCTGAACGAGCCGAGAGGTAGACGGGCGAGGTAGAGGGGCAGGGGAGAGAGAGAAGAGAGAGGAAATGTCAAAACAAAATAAAAAATATAAAAAATATATATATATAGGATTGTCTTTTTAGTTTTTAGGTATAGGTATATATAATCATCATATCATACTCCTTTTAGGGCATGTTTGGTTCGTTTCCTTCATTTTCTAAAACCCATTTTACTTCACTTTAATGGAAAGTATTTTTTGTGTTTGCTTCGCCAAAAGATATGGGTAGAAAGTACTTTCCACCACTTTTATTAGTTTGGTTCAACTTGAAAAAAGAAGAAAACAATTGATGCGTGAATAGATTACCTTATTTTTTTAATGTTTGGTTCAAATGACAATAATAATAATAATAATAATAATAATAATAACAAGAATACAATAATATAATATAATAATAACAAATAATAATAATAATAATAATAATAATAATATAATAATAACAATAATAATAATAACAACAACAACAACAATAATAATAATAATAAAATAATAGTAACAATAATAACAATAACAACAACAATAATAATAATAATAATAATATAATAATATTATTATTATTATAATAACAATAATAACAACAAGAACAACAATAACAATAATATAATATAGGGAAAAATGCTTTCAGCCCCCAAAAGCTAAGGAAACGTGCTTCCCACCCCCAAGACTTTATCAATGGGTGTTTTACCCCCAAAAATAAAGATTCTGTTCTCTGAGCCCCTAAAACACAAAACCTAAGAGATTAAAATATGTGAAGACCATAATACCCTTCTCTCTCTCTTTCTTCTTTTATTAAAATATGATAAGGATTATTTTATTATTTTCGTTTCCTCTCTCTCTCTTTATCATGATGTACTGAGATGATAGTTGAAATGATTGATGAGGATTATTTTATTATTTTCATTTTTTATTATTTTCGTTGTTTGTATTGGGAGATTGTTAAAGTTACGAGTTAATTGTTAAGGTTACGAGTTAATTGTTAATGTTACGGGTCAATTGTTAAGGTTATGAATCCTCTCTCTCTCTCTCTCTCATGATATTACTTTGATGATATTGAAATGATTAAAGAGGATTATTATTTTATTATTTTTGTTTTTTATTATTTTCGTATTTTTAGAATATTCGTTGTTAAGGATAATAGTTGGTTGTAAAGGTTATGCATTGTTTGTTAAGGTTACGGGTTGGTTGTTAAGGTTACGGGTTTGTTGTTAAGGTTATGGGTTTGTTGTGTAGATTACGAATTTGTTGTTAATGTTACGGGTTTAATTGTTAAGGTTACGAGTTTAATTGTTAAAGTTACGTGTTTAATTGTTAAGGTTACAGGTTTAATTGTTACGGTTACGGTTTAATTGTTAAGGTTACAGTTTAATTGTTAATGTTACGGGTTTAATTGTTACGGTTACGGGTTTAATTATTACGGTTTACGAGTTTAATTATTACGGTTACGGGTTTAATTGTTAAGGTTACGTGTTTAATTGTTAAGGTTACGGGTTAATTGTTAAGGTTAGGGGTTTAATTGTTAAGGTTACGGGTTTAATTGTTAAGGTTACGGTTTAATTGTTAAGGTTATGAGTTTAATTGTTAATGTTACGGTTTAATTGTTAAGGTTACGGGTCAATTGTTAAGGTTACAAATTTAATTATTAAGGTTACGGGTTTAATTGTTAAGGTTACGGGTCAATTGTTAATGTTACAAGTTTAATTGTTAAGGTTACGGATCAATTGTTAAGGTTACGAGTTTAATTGTTAAGGTTACGGGTTTAATTATTAAGGTTACGGGTTTAATTGTTAAGGTTACGGGTCAATTGTTAAGGTTATGGATCCCTTCTCTCTCTCTCGTTAAGGTTACGGGTCAATTGTTAAGGTTATTGATCCCTTCTCTCTCTCTCTCTCTCTCTCTCCTCTCTCTCTCTCTCTCGTAACCTTAACAATTAAACCCGTAACCTTAACAATTAAACCGTAACCTTAACAATTAAACCGATAACCTTAACAATTAAACCCGTAACCTTAACAATTAAACTCATAACCTTAACAATTAAATCGTAACCTTAACAATTAAACTGTAACCTTAACAATTAAAATCGTAACCTTAACAATTAAACCCGTAACCTTAACAATTAAACCCGTAGCCATAACAATTAAACCCGTAACCGTAACAATTAAACCCGTAACCTTAACAATTAAACCGTAACCTTAACTTAAACCCGTAACCGTAACAATTAAACCCGTAACCTTAACAATTAAACCGTAACCTTAACAATTAAACCATAACCTTAACAATTAAACCTGTAACCTTAACAATTAAACACGTAACCTTAACAATTAAACTCGTAACCTTAACAATTAAACCCGTAATATTAACAACAAATCCGTAACTTACACAACAAACCCATAATCTTAACAACAAACTCGTAACCTTAACAACAAACCCGTAACCTTAACAAACAATGCATAACCTTTACAACTAATCATTATCCTTAACAATGAATATTCTAAAAATACGAAAAGAATAAAAAATAAAAATAATAAAATAATAATTCTCTTCAATCATTTCAATATCATCAAAGTAACATCATGATAGAAAGAGAGAGAGAGAGAGAGAGAGAGAGAGAGAGAGAGAGAGGATTCATAACCTTAACAATTGACCCGTAACATTAACAATTAACTCGTAACCTTAACAATTAACCCGTAACTTTAACAATCTCCTAATACAAACAGCGAAAGTAATAAAAAACAAAAATAATAAAACAATCCTCATCAATCATTTCAACTATCATCTCAGTACATCATTATAAAGAGAGAGAGAAAACAAAAATAATAAAATAATCCTCATCATATTTTAATAAAAAAAAAGAAAGAGAGAGAGAAGGGTATTATGGTCTCACATATTTTAATCTCTTGGGTTTTGTGTTTTGGGGGCTCAGAGAACATAATCTTTATTTTTGGGGGTAAAACACCTATAGACAAAGGCCTGGGGGTGGGAAGCATGTTTCATTGGCTTTTGGGGGCTGGAAGCATTTTCCCCTATAATATAATATAATATAATAATAATACTAATAATAATAATAATAATAATAACAACAACAACAACAACAATAATAATAATAACAACAACAATAATACAATAATATAATAATATAATATTAATATAATATTATTATTATTATTATTGTATGCAGAAAGTACTGTTTTCCTCCATAATCGGATTTTTTTGAGCGGAAAATTTTTGGGAGAAAGAATCCCTCACTTTCTTTCACTTTTCTATTTATTTTTTACAAAACAGACACACGATTGTGGGGGAAAACAGGGGATTTTCCCTGCGTCAGTTTTCCGATGTGCCACTTTCTGTATTTTTTTGACGAAACAAACAAGCCCTTAAAGACGTAAGTTTGGAAAAAGTTTTCCATAGTCAACATTACCATTCACTACTTTGAATATTTTATTTAAATATTAATTTATAATAATCCTAATTATATCATATACTAATTTCACGTAAACTACCTATAGCTCAGCAATTTAAAAAAGATTAATAAAATACAAGAAATACTTTTTTAATATTTTAAATAAGATTAATAAATCATGTGTAACCAACATATTATAATACATGTAGTATTATAAAAAAAACCAAAAAGTTTTAATAATTACACAAAATACCCTCAATAGTTTATAAGTAAAACAAGAAATTTAGAAATTAACAACAACCCCTAAAAGAATTTAAAATTCATAATTAACACTCTTAACAGTTTAAAACTTAAAACAACAAATAAGAAATCTAGAAATTGACAACAACCCCTAAAAGAAATCAAAATTCAGAATTAATACCCTCAACGCTTCAAAAATTATAGAAACAACTTTAAAAGTTTAAATTATAAGAAAGCACTTAAATTTCTAAAATTTCAAAACTTGCAAATGATATATATGAACCCTAGGGACTACAACCAAGCATTTGAAAATTTAAAATTTATAAAAACCTTTGAAGTTGCAAAAATTGAAAAAACTCCCTCAAAAGTTGAAAATCACAAAAAACCCTGAAATTTTAAAATGTATTACCAGTGCACATCAAATATGACCTAATTATTTATAATCACCGGAAAAAGCCTAATCCTAGCTAGTGTAGGTATCTAAAAATGCTGATAGATATCCAAATACAGCTCAAGATAAAGAGGAGATCGTCCAAGGATTGCAAGAAATAGCCTTAAGCTGTCTCAAAAAAATCAAGACAATGTAGACTGTCTCGCACGCGAGACAGTATAGACTGTCTCGCATAGATTGTCTCGCACGCGAGACAGCGTCGACTGTCCTGTCTCGGAAGCCGAGACAGTCACAACCGTCTCGCAGGCAAAAATCCCCCATGACGTTGTATTTTTGGTTAAAACTCTCCCAGAGGCTATAAATGCCCCTAGGACCATTACTGATAGGATCCGAGCACAGAGAGCAGATAGAGCAAAAAACTTGAGCTTTTTAGCGATTCCTTAAGAAAGCTTTGACTTGATATTGAGAAGAGTGTTCATCTTACTTTAATAAGATATTCATTGATTTCATTCTTGCTTCTAAACAAAGGAAGAATACCCAAAGCCTTCACAATTCAATCAGAATCTGTGAATCGGTGGTTCACGAGCTAACGCACTTCCGGCATAGGCAAAGTCCCCACAAAAGCAGAAGTCAATAAACGATTTTTGTTTTATTTTCTAGAAAGTTGTAATTTTCTTATT